GATATTTGGTCCTTTAAAGGTCAGGTTAGCACCAATGGATGAATAGATCCTACACACAGCCAGTGTTGAGTCATTTCGCTCTAATACTGAGACTTGGGTAGGAGAAGCAATTTCCAATGGTATAAAGAGACATTAAAATACCAAATGTTTTAATTGTGATATAATAGGCCATAATGTTTCTTCTGGGAATGACAAAATAAAAGGTTTTAAACTTCTGAAGTATGTAGAGTATACAGCAATGGCCCGACACTGGAACAATGAATGTAGATCAACAAGAGACAAACAAGACAACTAGTTACCACTGTAAAATTTGGGGGACCCTATCACAGGCCCCCAAGTCAAATGTGGTTCAGTCATTTATATATAAAGGACATACCTCTCTAGGAAAATTGGAAAATCCAGGGGCTGCTGTAAAAAAACAAACAAACATACTGCTCTGGATGAAAGAATAATCATGGAGGATGAATCAAAAATTCTAGTAGAAAATAGGAGATGTATTCTTTGACAGAATTTTATAAATGTCCAAAGACCAAAACTGAGAGTATGAATAAATAACATTATCATTGACAAATTATTGGACATGATTGTGGATGTGACTATTATTGCTCCAGAATCTTGACATCTGAATTGGCCTTCCCTATTGCTTAAAGGAAAGCCTCTTATAGTTAAAAGATTGTTTCTTCACTATAACTTTGCAAGAAAAAAACAAGAGAAAAATTTGTCTGCACAGTGCCTACTTATAATAATTCTCAGCCAGCCAAAAGATATCAAAGGAAGATTCTTCGACAAGGAATGTTAAATATTCCCACCTTGTGCCAATATTTTGTAAGTCAGCCCTTGGAAATTATATGTAAGCAATTTCCTGAATCTATAGTTTACCATTACATGGATGACATTTTGCTATCTGATTCAAATGGAGATACTTTAGAAAGGATGTTTGAAGAAGTAAAGTAAATTTTGCCTCACTGGGGATTACAAATTGCTCCTGGAAAAAAAAACACAAAGAGGACATCCTATCAATTTTCTAGGTTATACAATAAGTTTACTGAAAAAGTAGAACATGAAAAGTGAAAATTAGGAGAGATTAGTTCATTTCCAACAATTGCTATGAGACATTTCCCATCTCCAGCCCACTATTGGGATAGGACCTAGTGACATGATTAATTTAAACAAAATTTAAATAATCCCAGGGAATTATCAGCTGAAGTTCAGATAGAATTGACTTTGATTGAAGAGAAATTACAAGAGGCACATGTGGATCATGAGGATCTGAATCTTAACTGCATTCTGGTAATATTACCCACCAACTATTTCCCGACAGGAATTTTGATGTATAGGGAAGATATTATCTTAGAATGAATCTTTTTGTTGCATAAACTGAGTAAAAAATTAAAATCCTACGTGAAAAAATGTCTCTGAATTAATTATAAAAGGAATTTTGAGACTTCATCAATTAACAGAAATAAAACCATTAGAAATTACATGACTTTGTTATTTATTCAGGTTCAAGATATAATCAAGAATAGGCTTCATCTTAAATACTTAACACACACCTTATTCCATAAGGGTCTGCCAGGTCCTCTAGCACAAGTTAATGCAGAAATTGATCAATTATTGATTGGAAATGTGCTGAAGACCTCAGAATTTCATAAAAAATATTATGTCACTATCAAAGGTTCAAAAACAGGACTTTTCTATTACATGGCAACATTATAAGGAAATTGTAAGGAAATGTCCTACTTGTCCTTTATACAACCAAAGACTATTGCCTGCAGTAAGTAACCCAAAGAGTTCTCAAAGGAATGGAATCTGTCAAATGGATGTTCCATTTTGTAGAATTTGTAAAATCTGTAAAAATATGTACATCACATCATTGATATCTATTTACGTTTTCAATTGGAAACTGCTTTGAGTTTAGAGAAAGCTGATTTAGTAATCACATATTTACTAGAAGTTATGGCCATTATGGGTATACCTGCACAAACAAAAACAGGCATGCCCCAGCATATGTTTCTGAGAAAAGGAAAGAGTTTTTTACTTATTATTTTACAAAACATATTACAGGTATGCCACACAATCCTACAGGTCGGCAGTTATAGAAAGCTCAAATTGAACTATAAAGGCTAAGTTAAAGAAACAGAAAGGGATGAAAACTACCCCCAGAAATGATTGCATAATACTTTATTAACCATGAATTTTCTGAATGCTAATGAGAAAGGAACAACAGCTGCAGAGAGACACTGGATAATTAAAAATTTTTCTGAATTAAATATGCCAGTATATTTCAAGGATGTGTTGACCTTAGAACAGAAACCAGGAGATATGCTACATTGGCGAAGGGGTTTTGCTCTTGTTTCCCCAGGAGAAGAAAAGCTCTGAACACCGTCAAAATTAATCAAGATTTGGTTTGAAAAAGAGAAACCTCATGATAAAGAGAAATGACAGTTCATCCACAGAGAGGAAATCCACAGGTTGTAAGGAAACCTTCTAAGGCTTTGAGCAGGGTTCTGTCTTTGTCTTTGCAGGAAAATACCCATCTTTAAAAAGTCAAGAGACCTTGGATATCTAGATGCTTAAAGAAGAAAAGATATCTACCCAGAAAGAATCACAAGCAAAGAGAATCTGACTTATGATACCAATATTTTCCACAGGGTAAGATCTCACTACCTAAATGTGTGTGTATATATATAATAGTAGTTGTGGACTATTAAAAGTCAAAGCAGGCTTTGAGGTTAGACAGTGGCTCTCCTTCTCTAAATTCAAGCATGCTGTTAAAAAAAAATCCTGGGTTTCTGTCTCATATCAGGAGCCACTTGGTATGGGAGAGAAGTAAGATAAAATCTAGGGACTATCAAAAGATCTACTTTCAAAAATTTTACTTCTCCCCATATCAATTTTTTTTCTCTATGGTAACTTTCATTGAATATATGTCTACAGAAATTCAAACTTCCTGTTTTACTATGAATGATGTTTAAGTTTTCCACAATGAACAATTAAATTTCCTCCAGTAATCTTTGAAGTCTCCAGGAAGAAAATGGGGCCACACAACAATTCCACCTGGTTGGCATGATGCCATTATGCTGATAGCACCACTTTAAGATCAGTTTTGGGTTATAAACTATTCAAGATGATTCCAACTTGGCTAGCTGAGATGGTGCACCTTCTTACAATGTTCTGGCCAGAACGTCTGCTAAGAACTTCAGAAAAAACCTTACCAAATACTCAGAGACTATCTGCAATTGTACCAGACAATAATCTTGAAAATTAACCAACATTTTAGTTTTTATAGTATTCTATAGAAGAAACATCGCCCCCATGACAGGTGGAAGTAATTCTAGAAAGCGACGTCCCCTCTCCCAAAAAACTTTGTCCTCAGGTTAAGAACATCTGCTAGGGGTTGGTTATAAGTGATATAGGATTGGGGGTAGAAATGCAGTAAGCACAGGGATCTCTTTTGGGAAAAAACAGAGAATGGGTGGGATGGTGTGTCTACTTGTGAGCTATTATTTATAGACAATTTACATTGGTAGAGATTCTTGTATAGTGATACAAATCCAAATTATATTTGTTATATTGAATATGCTCCTATTTCTGTTTACAATAATTGTTCCCCCAATCAAAGTTATTTTGTCATATTTAAAGCATGAATGTTTCTACCTCTACTTAAGATATCTTGTATATTGTTACAATTTAAGATAATTACTTACAAATGAATGATAAAGAGATTCAAGAACTGAGCATGGAGCCATAAACCTGAAATCCCAGAATTAGGGAGGCTGATTCCAGAGAACTGTAAATTTGAGACACAAAGAATTTCAGGCCAACCTGTGCTACAAAGGAAGACCTACCTGAAAACGACAGCAACAATCCAGTCTGCAAAGGAAGAGGATGAAAAGTTAGGAGATTCTTCTGATAGCTGAGTGAAATGAAGCCCTCAGTGACAGATGCTGACAAGTTTGAGTGACCCATGGCCACCCTGGATGGACCTTGTCCTTTAGCAAGACTAGTCCCAGTGTCCTCACACAACAATGGGAGGGGATGCACTCAGCTGTCTCTGGGTCCCCAAAAAACGTGGCCAAAGAATCAGCTGCTAACTGTGCCCAGACCTCAGCTGTATCTTGGGGACTGGAAGGAGAGTGTCAGTTCCTAGAGCCACTGATCATAGCTGGATTGGCACAGTGATCAGAAAGATATTCCATGTTTTGGACCGTGTGTTACGTGTTCATAATTTTCCATTAAAAGAACCCTTTAAAATGTCTTTAAAATTTCACATACGTATATAATGTATTTTGGTCATACCCATCCCTACCGCCTTTCTCTCTGTACTTTTAGTCCTCCCCAACATGTTTCCCTTCCAACTTCTTGTTCTCTTTTTTTCATAAATAACTGCCATTTGCTCCTCAGAAAGGGGTGTAGAACTCAGAAGTCACCTCCAGTCCTCGCAGAAGAAACTTTGAGAATTACTATTACTGTCTTAGTTTGCTATTCCACCATGCACACAATCATCTGTATTCTGAGTTGAAACTTTGAGATTTATTATAGAATTTTAGTTTGTCATACATATTTTCCATAGGATCATCATCAGAAACACATGTAAATGCATGGTAGAACAAAAGAAAAGGGAGCAAAGAATATTCTAGTGTTAAACAAAAGTGTTATGTGAGCCTGGAATGCTGTTTCTCTGGGCCATTAGTGATAAGACCCGTTGCCTGGAAAATTACATGGCTAGGATGGACAGGGGAGTCAGGAAGAGAAAGCAGTTCTTTAAAAGTGTTCCTTAAAGCAATTAAGTCAGAGCAGCCTGCTCAGCAACACTTGACAGAAAGGCTTCTCCATGTCCAAACCTTATAGCAATGACTCCACAGCAAACTTCTCTCACAGCGCAGAGTTGAGCGCCTGCACTCTGGTACACTTCCTGTTGTCCTCGGGCTCAGATGCTGTCAAGAAAAGGTTGTCTGTGGCTCAAAGAGTGTCCCCACCCCACCCCCCCACCCCCGGGTTCTGACTTATTCCCTGGAGAGGCCAAGATCCAGTACGTTTTGCTGTTGCAAGTTTTCATTTGCGGCCTCTGCTTGCTCCTTCACCTCTTGCTTCTCAATGGATTTTTCATTTCTCTGAGACTGCAGGAAATCTTTCAGAGCAGCGAGGTCTGCAGACTTCCGGTGATCCTCCTGGAGGTCGCAATAGCGCTGGTAAAGCTGCTCTTCCTCAGCAGGAGGACTCTCCTTGCGGAAGACAAACTGATAGTATCGTTCTACTTCCGGGAAATCAATGAGATCTGAGTAGGAGTTCAGAGGACTTCGCCTTCTCCGAAGAGCCTGATGCATGTACTCCATCGTCAGTCTTCTCAGTTCCTCCATTATCTCCTTGCTCTCACTGGTTTCAGCATCCCCTCTGTTCTTCAATTTCTCCAGTTTCATCCTGTAATGGGCCATGACCGAGCAGTAGAGGGGACTGTTGTGTTTAGTGGATCTTAATGCTGTTACAAGGAGTTTGATAGCTCTGTCTAGGTTACCCTTTTTCCTGAAAAACTGGACTGCCTTTTGCAGGACATCTGTTTGATTAGGAACTTTTCTCAGGGCATCTTCAATCAATTGCTCCCCTTCAGCTTCTTCTCCCATCCTCTGCAGTTTCAGGGCCAAGAGAGCTTTGACATACTGGTTCTTAGAATTCAGCTCCATGGCCTTCTTCAGAGCATCAACAGTGAACTGCTTCTCTGGGTTTTCTTCTAGATGGTACATGGCAATTGCAAGTCCAGAGGAGCACTCTGGATCACTAGGCTTCTCTTCCAGAGCCTTTTCGAAACACATTTTGGCTCTTTCATTCCTTCCACACTTTAGGCGTGTCCATCCTTCCTCACACTCGAGTTCCGGACATTCCATGCTGTAAGGATTTGCAAACTTCTTGCACACATGTTTCACCTTGTCAACATAAGCCTGGGCTTCTGAGAGCCGGCCCATGTGATAGTAGACCCAAGCATAGTTTCCCCAGGTGACCAGACATCTCATTTCTGCTTGATCATCCTGGTTTGGCTTCAGTAAGTCTTCAGCCTGCCCTAAGCACTCCAGGGCTGCCTCATTTTCACCATCTAGATGTTTTATATATGCCAGCAAGTTGTACATTGTTGCTTTGTGCTCAGAGTTTAAAAATTCAATCTGGTTATGCACTCTATCTTCCATATGAGTTGAGATACTTCCTTCCCTGAATAAGTTCCAGGTGAAATGGCACTTCAGCTGTGGAAGGATTTTTTCCAGAGAGTTCCTGGTGTCCTCACTGTGGAGAAAACAGACATGGGTACTATGATGGGCACTCACACATCTTATGTATCCCTTGATGGTTAGTTTTACTTGTTAGCTTGACTGAGCCTCCAGGAGACTGAAAAAATAACTAGCTTCTTGTGGCTGTTGGACTGAGCGTACAGGGTGAACCATGGGCTCTAGGCTGTATTTGCATTCTGGCTATACTTTGCAGTTGCAAGTTTCTCAAACATCCATTAAACATTCAAGATTTGTTCACGTTCGCACCCTTTCCACTCTTCCCACCTGCCTGCCACTCCTTTCTGTTGTCCCCGTGCAGAGTTCCACACATCTGATGCACGAGGCGTTTTTCACAACCTGTGGTCTGTATTAAATTGCCTCATCTCTTGGCCCTCTCCCCTTAGCACTATCTCAGATCTGCTCAATCAATAGTTTAGAAATCCTGGAAATCTGCCTTTTCATTTTACAGAAGTCAATTATTATTGTTAGGGCCCATGGTACAATTTGAGAGGTTGTAGTACTCTGACTCTACTCCAAGTTTACAGGGTAGAGGGAGCCTAGCAGGTCACTCAGAGGTCGGTCCTGAGAACGTGTTGCTCTGTTTTGATGAAACGATTTTTCAAGCTGAGTGTGTTCGTGCGCATCTTCAATCCCAGCACTCGGGAGGAAGAAGTAGGCTGATCTCTGGGAGTCTGAGGCCAGCCAGGGTGACAAAATTAGACCCTGTCTCAAAAAATTTTTTCCAAGATAAAGTAAAATAAAAAAGTAAATTCAGCTTTACGTGACCTAATCACATACCAGAGTTTTAGATTACAGAATTAATAATGAACACACTTGATGAAGATTCAGGATGCTGATAAGGAGATAACCACAAAACAGCAATCCCCAATTCTGATTTACTCTTTTTAACTATAAGAAAATATAGTGGAACAAAAACCCCAGGAGATGCCTCCTCGGTCTCAGATTTCATGGGCCAGATTGTTTTTGAAGGGGCTTGACCTATGCTTCTTCAAGGCCTTCCCTGCCTGCAGCTATCACCTGCTTGTTCTTCCTCGAACTAACTATAAAGGAGAAAGATGCTGTAATGGTTAATTTTCCTTGTCAATCGGATGAGATTTATAATTGTCACAGAAACACACCTTTGGGCATCTCTAGGAAGGTTTTTCCTGAAAGATTGAACTGGGCAGTGAAAACTCATCCTATGTGTGGGAGGCACCTCCCTAAACACAGGAAGAGCAGGCTGGGGTCCAGCATTCACATATCTCTGCTTCCTGATTGAACAGAGTATGACCAGCTTATGCTGTTGCTACCATGACTTCTCTGCCAAGCCTGCACCCTGACACTGTGAGCAAAAGTAAACCTTTCTCCCTTAAGTTGCTTTCATCAGATATTTTGTCACAGTGGACCAAGCCAAGTAACTAATACAGAGGCACAGACATAATGCACACATTGTGAGACAGGTTATGAGAAAGTTGGACAAATGCACATTTAATCTCTAGACACTGAAAGACCACAGCTAGGAAAGCTGAACATACAACAAGAGCTTTTCGTGAGACTTTGCCTCCTGCAAAGCCTACCACGAAGGTACCAGGTGCTTTTCCAAGTATTTATTTACCCTGTTTTGTGATTTTAAACGTGGCTGGGAAGAGCAGCTCAAGCTGCCTCTGTCCTCACAGAATTCAACGACGCAGACTTCTGATCAGTGTAGTCTAAAGTTCTCAGACCTGCTTAGATTGGTGCCTCTAGACATTCCCAAACACAAACCACAGTAAGACCCCTTGTACAGGCTAGCCACTAAGGTTCTGGAGAGATCTTGGCTTTCTGGTCAGTCATACTCACCACTAACCCCAGTCTTCTCCCAGGCCAATTATATAGGAAGAAGTAACCCAGAGTAGTTGTAATTGTAATTACAACTCTGACTTTGTTAAATATTTGTAATCCTTGGGGCTGAGGGCAGAGATAACTGTCTTTTTTCTTTCCCTCAAAGTAGCATCTGCCTTCCCTGGGCCATAATTGCCACAATCCTTCCCTGATAGGTATTTGGTGGGAAAGGTATCATTTCTTTTATTCTTTCTAAGGCTCTACCAATGACAGAAATTCAGCAGGTGTAGTTACATTTAAGAAAATCACATTTGCTATGATTTTTTTTCTTACAATCTAATGCACTTACTTTAGGGGGATAATTTGCTGAGTCTCAACAAATGTGTATATCTTTGTACCCACCTAGACCCCTTATAGGTCCCATAGGATGCCCGTGTGGACTTCATACTCTATCACGATCACCTATAGGTACCACTGTTCTGCTTCCTGTAACTAGAAATTCAGCAGAGTTTATATTTTTGAGGGGGAATTATTTTTTCCTGTCCTTCAGCATTTCTTTCTTTTTTTTTTTTTAGGAGAGGTTCTAAAAGAATGGGTCTAATTTTATTTTATTTATTTATTTTTTAATTTATTTATTTATTAAGGATTTCTGCCTCGTCCCCACAACCGCTTCCCATTTCCCTCCCCCTCCCCCGATCAAGTCCCCCTCCCTCATCTGCTCGAAGAGCAATCAGGGTTCCCTGACCTGTGGGAAGCCCAAGGACTGCCCACCTCTATCCCGGTCTCGTAAGGTGAGCATTCAAACTGCCTAGGCTCCCACAAAGCCAGTACGTGCAGTAGGGTCAAAAACCCACTGCAATTGTTCTTGAATTCTCAGTATTCCTCATTGTCTGCTATGTTCAGCTAGTCCGGATTTATCCCATGCTTTTTCAGACCTAGGCCAGCTGGCCTTGGTGAGATCCCAATAGAACATCCCCATTGTCTTAGTGTGTGGGTGCACCCCTCGTGGTCCTGAGTTCCTTGCTCGTGCTCCGTCTCCTTCTGCTCCTGATTTGGACCTTGAGATTTCTGTCCGGTGCTCCCGTGTGGGTCTCTGTCTCTGTCTCCTTTCATCGCCTTCAGCATTTCATAGTCATAAAAATAACTAAATATTGAGGCTTGGTTTCATATAAAAATTATTTTTTAAAGAACCCACAATACTAAAATACCTTGCTCATCTCTAAGAATCATTTATTCTACCTCAATCCTGAAGTGATCAAACATTTCAGCACCTTGAGTTGAATTTGCAGTACTAATTCCAACTCTCCATACTATTTTCTGGAAAAGGAAGTTTTCCTTTGACCACATACACACATACACACACACACACACAAACACACACACACACACACACACACACACACACACACACACATACACTGAGCTTTCAGTGACGTAATCCCTTTCAATAACATCAAGAGGAAAGTCCAGTAAGAACAATTGCATTAGTACTATCACTGAGTCATATTTTGTCACTGGGTGAATCTAACCATACTTTAAAGCCCCTCTCCTAGCTCAGGAATTAGTGCCATCCAGTGAGCAGCTTTAGAACTGGCAGGGTCTTGCACATGCCCTCCAAAAACCATGCTAATTCAGGTGTGTTGAATCTATCAGCAACCAGACAATTTCAGAAACTCCCATGCAGAGAGCAGCCCCGTGCATCATCTACTGTGGAAAACCAGAGATTGCACTGACCTCATGATGACGACCTGCTTCTCTGCTGCTGAGGAAAAGCTGGGTGTGGGCTGAGAGGTTCAGAAATCTCAGTCTCCCTCAGGGGGACACTGAGAGGACTATATAAAGGGCTGGTGGAGGGAGGAACTCACCAACGGACGCTCTCCTGTTTCTAGGGGTTTGTGTTTGTGTAAGAGAAGACGAAACTGGAAAGTGAAACTGACTTAAAATCAGCCAGAAGAGGAAAAAGAAACTGAATCCTGAGACTTTCGGGAGCCAGCCAGTTTCCCAGCCTGAAGCAACACAGAGTAAAGCTAGGCTGACACATGGTGTTTATGAAAGCAGAGTCCCGCGAGATAGTTATTGTTGCAGTTTAAAAAGCCGCTGAGAGAGTAAGACACCATGCAACAGGGCTCACGTGAAGAGGTTTTTTTTATAGGGGAAAAAGGAATAGGAGAAAGGAGGGAGAGGGATGACTGATCTCTGGAGACAGGAACAGCAGAAGAGAGAGGCAAAGAGAGAGAGACAGAGGGACGACAGAGACAGGCAGAGAAGCAGAGAGAAAAGAGAGGAAGAGAAAGAGAGAGAGAGACAAGGAGAGACAGAAAGGGATGGGAGTGGGGAAGGCCCACCTTTTAAAGGGGAGCACAGTGAATGTGCTCAGGAGGTGCTCTTAGTGGCTACAGCTGAGGAGGTTTCCTGTGAGGACCCCAAGGGCAGGCCAGTACAGATACGGGAATAGTAACAGACTTCAAATTCTGACAGTGCTGCTATGTTCCAGGAAGCAGACATGAACTTAGATGGCTGTGGGATTCTGGTTGGTTGTTTTGCTTAGCAACTTGCTACTGCTAATGGCATAAGAGGTTAAGTGCACTTCTCTTAAACCCACTGTGTTTGCCTTTAGTCTGTACTTCGGAAGACTTCAATTAGCACAGGCACTAAAAGTATAGCCTTTTCAAAGATCTCATGTGATTCTGTTATTCAGAACTCAGTGCCTGATTTTGACCTACTGGGACTTGAAACCTTAAACACCAGGCCAAAGAGGATGTGCTTGTCAAGTTGGGAGCATAGATCCCAGGCCTGGTCTGGACTCTAAATCCCAGCAGGCCAGCTCCTGACCCCTCCCTGGGGATGGGGTCAGGACCCCTCCCCAGTGTATTTAAATGAGTTCCCAAAAGAGGAACAGGTGGTCTTTTTTCCTTCCTCCCGGTGGGTGCTTTTGCACAGCTTCCCGGTTCCCCCTCGGGGCCACCCGAGAGCGCAGAACTCCCATTAAACCTGGATATTTCTTAATTTGGCTTGATTGGGAATTTTGTGTCAGCAGGGAGCTCGCGTTAGGAAATATTTCTAACAGTGCCCATATCCTTTTCTTTCTTTGCTCTGATTAATAGGATACTATGTGTAGAATATTTACAAGTTGTAAGCATATCAATTTTAGAGATGTTGTTTAGGTCTGAGCAACAGAAGGGGTTAAGTCAGGCAAAGTGCACATGGACTCAGTTGTTTCCTCTTCTCAGAATATAAGAGGTTCTGATTAACTAATTGATCAGTTGGTTGGTTGGTTGATCGACTGACTGATTTTTCTCTCTCTCCCCCCCTTTCTCTCTTGCAAGCACAGAGGCCAAAAGAGGATATTATATCTCCTGGATCCAGTGTTATAGGTGTCTGAGCTACTTAGCTTGGATGCTGAGCATCAAAGTCAGATCCTCTGTAAGAGCACTAAGTCCTCTTGGCTACTGAGACATCTCCCCAGCCTTCCGGAGAACCTTCCGTAACAAGTATTTCCTACCATTGTAGAATGAATTCTTCATAGTCTTGGTTCTTGTTTTACTCTAGTACCTGGCTCAAGAAGTACACTGGATTTTGCCATGTATTAGTAACAATTGCATGTGGTAACTAGACAACATTGTTTGACATTAACCATTTTTCCCATTAGTGGAAAAAAACATTGACTTTTTTTGTACTAAAATAAGAGCCTCCTCTTTAAGAAGTGTGTAAAAGTAAAAGATTGTCTTCAAACTCATCAAAACCTTTAAAGTCAAAGGTATCTGAGAACTCTGTCTTTCTGAGAATGGTGCCTCAGTTTAGGCATCTTCTCAGCCCTCGGGCAGCTGTTCTTGCTTGTTGCTTCACATTTTACACCCACATCTGTTTGTTTAAGAGAAGATGAGTCACAGGACACACCGTCATATGTTAGGCATTTTCATGACCTCTTCAGTCTTGATACAGAAGGCTCATTTCTTCAACGTTAATCTGCAAATGCAATTTCAAGCACCTGGCATTGATTTCAGAATAACTTTGGTCAATTGAAGAAGACAACAAATTACCTATCTTATGCAGATAAATAATGTAACATGGTGTAATAAAGACTTACCTTGCTCAATCAAGCACCCGAGGAACATGAGTCTTTGCTACTGTTCTCTGAGCTAAATACTAATGAAGGAAAACAACATTTACGGCCCTTGCCACTCTATGCACAGAGTCACAGCACAAAGTCAAGAGCCAAAGATAACCTTCAGATAATCTTCATGATTGTAGGCACAAAGCCACGGCTTCCCAGCGTGGAGGAACTCATTCTAGCCAAGGAGGTTATACTGGCATGTTGGAGAGTGAGCTTTCTGTACTCTCACGTTCACTGTGACAGTATTTAAAACAGTCAGGATATGGAAATGTAGTACTTTGAATGGAAGTCCCCCCCCCAATAATCTCCTAGGGAGCGACACTATTAGGAGGTGAGGCTTTGTTGAAGTGGGTATGGCCTTGTTGGAGGCAGTGTGTCACTGTGGGGACAGGCTTTGAGGTTTCCTATGCTTAGGATTCTGCAATTTCCTGTTGTCTGCAAGATGTAGCATTCCTGGCTCCAGTACCACATCTGGCTGCACACTGTCATACTCCCTGTCGTGATGATAATGACTGAACCTCTGAAACTGTAAGTGATCCACCCCCAATTAAATGTTTTACTTTATAGCAGTTGCCATGATCTCAGTGTCTTTTCACAGCAATAAAAGTCCTAACTGAAAGACTGAAAGCAACTTAATGTCCATCAATATATGAATAAAGAAAATACAGTGTTTATGTAATGTTATATATATAAGCACATACACACATGTACATACACTGTGGTATGCAGAAGCACACACATTTACGCACAACGAAATGCACAAGCACATAAACATGTACACACTAGTAGAATGCATAAGTACACACACACACACACACACACACACACACTAGAATATTATCCAGTCTTTAAAAGAAGAAGATTCTGATATTTCCAGCAACATGAATATGTCTGAAGGTTCTAATAGAAAGCAAAACAGCCTGGACACAGAGAAAATATCATAGGATTTCATGTATTTGGAGAACCTAAAAATGAACTCAGGAATCAAAGACCTGAAGGGTTATACCCAGGTTGCAATGGAGTGAGGGACTGAGGGGTTATGTGTCTAAGGATACATAACTTAAGTTTTTACTCTTTTTTATTTAAATGAATTGTATTTTTAAAGTTTTGCTTTTATTAATTTTTAATTATATGTGTGTGTTTCCACAAGTGCATGGGTATAAATATCCAGAGGCCAGAAAGGGCATCAGATTCCCTGGAGGTGGAATTGCAAGCAGTTGTGAGTCACCTGTATGGGTGCTGAAAACAATCTGGGTCCTCTGAAAGGGCACCAAACACTTATTTCCGAATCATTCCTGCAGCCCATTAAATTTAATGTAAAGACAGAGGCTGCTGCAAGGGAATCAGAGAAGCTTTCTAGGAGATCCTGATTAAATTATGATCTGTGCAAATAGTTGAGCGCAACATGCAGCAGCCTACATGTATCTCAAGAACTTCTGGATTCAGGATGGGATAGAATTTCTGCTTAAAAAATTCATCCAGTTCAGAAATGATGCAAACTGTGGCACGCTCTAGTTTTTTCAACAGATGAGGCCGGAATGCCGGCCTTGGGGTGGTGTTGCATTTGCGTGCTCCATACTCTGCTTTGCAAAACTGGCCCAATAGTTCCTGAAGAGGAAAGGCGGAAGTGGCACTTAGTTTTACAAACCTTTAATAAATCCCATCCTGATTTCCAGTCTTAAGTCCTTGCACTAGGTATATAAAGGGAGGGGCGGTGAACCAATGAGAATGCCTGATGCCTGCTGTACTTCGGTACATCTAAGAATCTCAGTCAAGTTTCCTCTGAAGCCCCACCCCATACAAAAGTGCAATTACCAGCAAAGAGACAGCCACATTGTAAATCAGAGAACATTTTCTTACTTGCTAAGCCTAAGATTCTTCTCTGAGATAGGTGATGGGGTAATGTTGTGAGAAAGGAGGGCAGAGGTTATGTAGTCTTTAGTTGGAACCCCCATTCTCCGGTTAGTGTCGAGCTGATGGTACCCATGCTAACTAAAACAAGGCTCAATGGAACTGAAACACTCCTGTGGTTTCTGCTCTCACTGGATGAAGATAGTGTGAGTCTAACGGCATGGACTGATGTGGTTTGGACATGGAATGTTCCAGAAAGGCTCCCACTTCGACGGGTCTGGAGGCTCCCAAGAGTTCCAACCACTGAGTTTCCTAACATGATGGCCTCACCGGAGAGTGGTGGAAACTTGTGGATGAAGTAGATCACTGGACGCACGTACTTGGGGATGCGACCTTGTCTCAGGCCATCCTTGGCCTCACTCCTGCCTTCCTGGACTCCACGGCATGAGTGTTCCCTTGAGCATGTCCCTCTGCCGCTACAATCCCAGAAAATACACAGCCAACAAATCACAGCTGCAACCTGAGCCCATCAGTCAAAATCCACCCTCCCTCCTTCATGATTTCTCTCAGGTGTCTGCCACAGCCAGGGAGAAGTGTCAGGGAGTTGGGGTGGGATGGGGGGAATGAAAGCAGTCACGACTCAGTCCAGTGGCTCTGACCCTGACAGAGAAAAAGGACAAGAAGAAGAAGCTGAGAGGGGGCTTTTCACCACGGGAAGTCATTACTTGAAAGCAAGCTAGAGATGACAGTCGTTTTCTCGCTCCTTCACTCACACAAACACACCCAAGACACTCAGAGTGACAACCCAAGCAGGGATCAGAGACATACATAAGCAGGCTTGTGGTCAAACAATGTTCGTATGTAGGGTTGGAGCAAGATGAACAGCAGGTCGAGTGCCAGCATTTTACAGGTTTGCTTGTTAGCACTTAGGGCAGCTTTGTTGGGGATTATCACTTACCTTGGTGAATATATGAGAAAAGATGTGAGAAAGTGACCAAATCACCTCTCTTGACTGATGCTGAAGGAGTGAAACGGGAAGCCAAGGGACCAAGGCAGGAGGGCACACGTGTGCCAACCGCACTACTAGAGTCACATCACCGTTACAGCTTCTTTGCTAACAGACACGAGTTTGCATTTCATCACAGAAGCCTTACTCACAGTCCAGCCTGTTCAAGGTTGTATAAGGCACAATGCTGCTATTTTCCTTCGGAGAAGTATCTGAGGCCTAGGAATGTCATGTGACCTATCTCCTCTCTAGAAATGGAGGAAGAGTGCAGGTATTTCTGGGTTCCTTCCCACATTCCCCTCTTAAGAAATATCAGCATCACAGGTTTTTATGTCTGATTCATAAATTGTCACATCCTCGTATAGCCTTAGGGAGAGGAATGCCATTCCCTGAAGATGTGGTCCAGCTATGTCCTATAATCTATCCAGGGTCTTTAACGGGGTTCTTCCCTTGAATTCCTATCTGGGCTTCCCTCAGCAAAAGACTGTAACTTGTTAGCTATATAGACCCTCAAGTTGTTTTATCCCTGCAACAGAAAGGGAAAAAGGATAAAAGTCAAGATCAAGTGTGTTCCTATGCAGATATCAGACATCAAATATAAAAAGAACAGACACTTCAGGCTGCAAAATAATTAATGCCACTCTTTATTATTAGTGCTTAAGTCTAAGACAGTGAGAGTAGAGTAAAATTTTTAATCAACCAGAACACTGCTCAAAGTTCTATCATGTGTTATTTATTAACAAATAATTTCAAATGCTGTCTACTTGTGGACTTAAGTGCATACAAAACCCTTTAATATTTAAAATAACAGGGAACATTGTTACAGCTGTTAGAACATTGTTTTAAGAAATACATTTTGATTGCTGAAAGATGTTCATATATACTTATAAGCAAACTAATGCCAATAGAGAATCATTTCTACCCCAGAGGCGGTTGTCAGCCTCACGTTGGGCCAATCGCCTCTCTGCTGCAGCACATCAACTTTAATGTTTTGGCCATTGCAGATCTACCAAGGAAACGCCAGTCATCAATTTCCTGATGTTCCTGAGTATTTTTTCAGAGTTCAAAGAAGTTTTTCTATTCCTTGGTTTGCAACATTTCTAATGGAGGAAAGAATTTTCCCTCCAGTCCCCATGCCATTTCCTACCACCAGGCCTCAGTGACCAAGTTATTCTTCCACCTAGTGTCCTTCTTAAGTTTCCACTTAAGTTTGAAATAAATATTTATTTCAACTGTCACTATGGTAGACAGACCCCCCCCTTATTTTCAAGCAGCTCCACCCTCGTAGGGAGAGCAGAGTTGAGAAGTCTCCCCATGTGCCTTCCGCAAGCCTGGCAATGTAATCATCTGACTCTATTGGTTTGCACAGATACGGCCCTTCTTACTTTCTCTGTCCTCAGTTTTCAAATTAGGTTGCCATCTGAGTTAATGTTGCAATCAAACTCATGTTTATAGGACACTGTTAATTGATGACTGGCTGGTAAATTGGAGGAAGGATTTTGTTCATCAGCTTCTGTTGTTTTTGTTTGTTTTTAGATCTGGAACTCACCATTCAGTTTCTATTTTGAGCTCAACTAATATTGAGCACTATTTTGTGAGCTTTGAAATTATACAGTAAAACAAAATCCCTAGCTTCCATGCTTTAGAAATGTGTGCTGATAGTGGCTATATAGGCATATACAATCCAAACTAACAAGATAATGTACATAATCATTAAATATTTACATGGATAATTCTCACCACCCTCCACCACCCATTCCAGGTCATGCTCAGACTAACTTCAAACTCATGGTAATCCTCCTGTCTCAGCTCCCAAGTGCTGGAATTATTGTCTTGAGCAACTGCCCCTAGCTCCTGAGTTTTTTGATGGGCACTGTTATCTATATAGAACAAGACTGTACAATTGGTGAAATAACTCAAGGATGGAAAACTCACCCATTTGAGGAATTTGGCTGCTTTGCATAAATACAGAAACAGACCCAAGGGAAGCATCCAAAGAAGGTGATGAAAGAATTGCTACCATGGGAACTATTTCTAAGAAATAAAAAGCAATCTAGGCTGTTTGCCAGGCTCTTGTGTCTATGGCTCCAACTGGTTCCTCTCTCAAAGCTCTCTCTGATCCAGCAATTCAGAAGGGTTCCTGTTCACGAAGTTGTTAATTACGTTGAATGGCAACTTGGTAAGGGTTTCAGTTTCCTGCCAGCAGTAGCACTGCAGGCACCCTGTCACCCCTACTCGTCCCCATTCTCATGCAAAGATGCTGAAGGAGCAGCCTTCTCAGCATCCAGCACCCTCTCAGCTTCTTTAGCAGCTTGCTTGCCTTTTTCATTCAACTCCTGAAGAAACTCCAAGATGTACAAGGCCTCAGAATCAAATTCATTTTCAGAAAGTCGCCTTAGGGCAATTTCTTGAAGTTTGTTTATCATCTTTCCTTTAGGCTCCGTCTTCTGCCTTATTTTTACACCCTCCATAAAATGATGGATGGCCTTTTCTTCACACTTCATTTGAAACAACTGGAAATTGCCATACTGTAGGTGGAGCAACTGTTTAAGGCCTGGACTGAGATCCTTCTTGAATTCCTTCTGGAAGTAATAATTGGCTTCTTCATACTGGTTTGCCATGGCATAAAGCCTAGCTAGGTAGCTACAGGAACTTTTCAGCATCTCCTTGGTCTCCTCTGCTTTCCTTAAATATTTAATCGCCTGTTTTGTTAGTTCCTGAAACTTTTGATTCTCATTAAATGCAGTTTCTCTTCTATGAAATATTTCAAGGACTTTTGACCTGTAGCAGCACCCAATATAGTAATTCACATAGGCATTGTTTGGCAGGTATTCTAAAGCCTTTGTAAGCAGCTGCATAGCTCTGACCCTGTCATTTGTCTTGTAATAAAACTTGGCTGCACTGAGCAGCACATCTGTTGCACCTGAAGCTTTCCTTAAGGCTTCTTCAACTAGTTTCTGTCCTTGGGTTTTAGGCACTCCCTCAAGCTTCAGTGCCCTGAGGACCTTAAGATAAGGGTGGTCAGGAGATAATCTAATAGCTTGTTTCAAGGAACCAATAGAGTCCTGCCGTGCTGGCCAGTAGTCCAGACGGTAGCATGCCATGGCCCATCCAGAGGTGAATTCTGGGTTATTCGGGTCCTTTTCCAGAGCCTTCTCAAAACACACCTTCACTCTCTCATTTTGGTTCTGGGTGCACTTTAATCGGGCCCATCCTTCCTCACAGTCAAGCTCAGGACTCTCGATCCTATAGGGACTGGAAAACTTCTCACAGACCCCTCTCACCTTGTCAAGATAAGCCTGTGCTTTTGAGAGTTGGCCCATGTGATAATAAACCCAAGCATAGTTTCCCCAGGTGACCAGACTTCTGATTTCTACTTGGTCAGGATACTGTTTCTTGATGAAACGTTCAGCATCCTCTAAACACTTCAGCGCTGCCTCGTTTTGGCCTCTGAGGTGGTTGATGTAGGCCTGGATGTTGCACATCGTGGCTTTACACTCACTGTTCTGAAATTCAACCTTGTTAAGCACCCTGTTCTCAAACTCATCCACGGTCTCCTCTCTCTCTTTCAAGTTCCAGGTGAAATGGCATTTTAGCTGCTGGAGCCTGCTCTCCAAGGATTTCCGTATGGTTGTGCTATGGGACAAAAAAAAAAAAAAAGAAACAGTCATTTGGGAGACAACACGCGTTCATCTGTCAAGGAGTGGGATCACAGCAAATATTCCTTTCCTTCTAAGGACAGTTCACCCAAACATAACCAAGGCACACGCTTCCCTTTCTTTTATTTCAGTATTTGTCATATGTTGATTGCCTTTTGGGTGGGCTACTCAGTCTAGGGGTTGTAGCCCACCCTGCAATCAGTTATTCCAGGGTCCCAGAGAGGCACTACCTGGAAGATATGAGCTAGGAGACAGGAGGGAGGCTAAGCGGGGTTTTTTGTCAAAGCCTCCGTTTATTAGAGATGGGGGACAACTTATATAGAGTAAAGAGTTGGGGTTCCCTATCCTCAGCTGCCCAAGGAACTAACTGGGGACCTTGGCTTGGGCACCTGGGAGCCACTCTAGGTTCAAGTCTCTTGCCAACTCTAAGGTGGCTCCCTTAACTAAGAATTGTGCTTCCGTGCTCCCCTATCCAACCTTCCTTTATCCCAATCCTCCTTTTTCCCCAAGTTCCCCCCATTCTCCCCTTCTCCCTTTTCTCTCCCCATCTCCCCTTACCCCCATCCCACCCCACCCCCAAGATCTCAATTTTCTCCCCGGCCATTTTGTCTACTTCCCATAGCCAAGAGGACAACTATATGTTTTTCCTTGGGTTCACCTTCTTACTTAGCTTCTTTGGGATCACCAATTATAGACTCCGTGACCCTTGTTTATGGCTAGAAACCAATTATGAGTGAGTACATCCCATATTCATCTTTTTGGGTCTGGGTTACCTCACTCAGGATAGTGTTTTCTATTTCCATCCAAAGAAGTCGGGACCAGGAGGGGTGCACCCACCCACTGAGACAGTGGAGCTGATCTATTGGGAGCTCACCAAGGCCAGCTGGACTGTGACTGAAAAAGCGTGGGATAAAACTGGACTCTCTGAGCATGGCGAACAATGAGGGCTGATGAGAAGCCAAGGACAATGGCACGGGGTTTTGAACCTACGTAATGTGCTGACTTTGTGGGAGCCTAGCCAGTTTGGATATTCACCTTCCTAGAAATGGACGGAGAGGGGAGGACCTAGGACTTACCACAGGGCAGGGAATCCTGACTGCTCTTTGGACTTGAGAGGGAGGGGGAGAGGAGTGGGGGGAGGGGGAGAAGGGTGGGAGGAGGGGGAGAAGGGTGGGAGGAGGGGGAGGGAAATGGGAGGCTGGGAGGAGCTGGAAACTTGTTTTTTTTTCTCCTTTTCTCAATAAAAAAATGAAAAATAAAAGAGTTGGGGGATGGGCACAGGGGCCTGGGCACTTGCTGTGTGGTTCACGTTGGTCACGTGGTCCAAGTTGGTCACGTAGGCAGGAGGTTACCTTAGGTCAGGTCACCTAGGCCAAGAAGTCACAACTAGGAGATGACACACCTAGTTCTTTAGATAGTTTGGAATGTGGGGTGGGTTCCACTAACAGATAGCTCTCATTAACAGCCAATTTGGGTGTGGGGTAGGCTCTGTCAATAGAAAGATTCCTAACACAATTATGGGTGTGGGGTTCTCTGCAGACTCCCCAGGGTGACGGTTCCTGCAATGATTTTAGGAGGAAATTGGCTCCTGACAGTCATATGTCTGAATTACTTATAATGATACAAGAGTTTGCTCATTTTAGGCAGAAAAACTGACAGAAGGAAGTGAATTAGTCCTAGATGGTGTTTGGGTTTCCTAGAAAAACTGTTTCTGTTAGCTAGCTCCCGCCTTTGTGTTGGAGGGTCTGTGAACCGCAGTACAGCTTCAGTATTATTCCTGGAGCTTTGTGTTTAGAGATAGTAACTGAATTTCTTCTTACAAAATTCCACCACAATTCTTCACAGACCTTGAAAGAACAAAACTCAACTTCATATGGAAAACAGAAAACCCAGAGTAGTTTCGACAATCCTGTACAAGAATGGGTCGTCCAGAGGCATCACCATACCTGACTTCAAACTCTACTATAGAGCTATAGTTACAAAAATAGCTTTCTATTGATATAAAAACACATACATGGACCAATGGAATTGAATCAAAGACCCTGACATTAATCCACACACCTATAAACACTTGTTTGTTTGTTTGTTTGTTTTTTATAAAGACACCAACATAGTACAGTGGAAAAAAGAAAGCATCTTTAACAAATGGAGCTTGCATAACTGGATGTCAACATGTATTAGATTACAAATAGATGCATAACTATCGCCATGTGCAAAACTCAAGTCCAAATGGATCAACAACCTCTACATAAATCCAGTTAAACTGAACCTGATAGAAGAGAAAGTGGAGAATAGCCTTGAACTCACTGGCACAGGAGACTACTCCCTAAATAAAACACCAGTATCACAGACACAGAGAACAACAGTCAATAAATGGGACTTTCTGAAATGGAAAATCTTCTGTAACGCAAAGAACATGGTAAATAAGACAGTACGACAGCTTACAGAATGGGTAAAGATCTTCAGGAACCCTACACCTGACAGAGGGCTGATCTCTAAAATATATAAAGAATATCAGAAAATGGGGGCTGGAGAGATGGCTCAGAGTTTAAGAGCAGTGCCTGCTCTTCCAAAGGTACTGAGTTCAATTCCCAGCAACCACATGGTGGCTCACAACCATCTGTAATGAGGTCTGGTGCCCTCTTCTGGCCAGCAGGCATACACACAGACAGAATATTGTATACATAATAAATAAATAAATATTAAAAAAAAGAATATCAGAAAGAACTAGATATCAAAATAGAAAATAATCCAATTGAAAAATCGTGTACAGAGCTAAACAGAATTCTCATTAGAAGAATCTCAAATGCCCGAAAAACATTTGAGGAATTGGTCAACATTCTTAATCATCAGGGAAATGCAAATCAAAATGACTCTGAGATACAATCTTATACCTGTCAGAATGACTAAGATCAAAAATACTGAGGACTTCTTATGCTGGAGAGGATATGAAGTCAGGAGAACACTCCTTCACTGGGAATGCAAACTTGCACAGCCACTTTGGAAATCAGTATGGCAGTTTTTCACAAAATTGGGAATCAATCTACCTCAACACCTGGCAATACCACTCCTGGGCATATATACCCAAAGGATACTCAATCATACTGTAAGGACTTTTGCTCAACAATGTTCATAGTAGCAATATTTAAAATAGTCAGAAACTGGAAACAACCTAGATGCCCCTCAACTGAAGCATGGATGGGTATAGGAGATACTTCTGTACATGCGTTGCTTTGATTGGTTAATGAATAAAGAAACTACCTTGGCCTTTTGATGGGGCAGAACTTAGGTAAACAGGGAAAACAGAACTGAATGCTGGGAGGATAAGGGCAGAGTCAGAGAAACGATGGATCCTCCACCTAAGATAGACACTGGGTAGAATCTCTGGTAAGCCACTGCCATGTGGCGATACACAGATTAATGGAGATCGGTTAAATTAATATGTAAGAGTTAGCCAATAAGAAGTTACAGCTAATGGCCAAGCAGTGTTTTATTTAATACAGTTTCTATGTGGTTATTTCAGGTGTAAGCTAGCTGAGCTGCTGGGACAAACAAGTGGGCCCCTCCTTCCTAAAAATGGATAAAGAAAATGTGGTATATTTGCACAATGGAGTATTACTTAGGTGTAAAATACTATGACATCATGAAATGGAACTAGACAGGCAAAAGGATGGAACTAGAAAAAAACATTCTTAGTGAGGTAACCCAGATTCAGATAGAGAAACAATGTACTCACTCGTAAGTGGATTTGTGACATAAAGCAAAGGATAACAGAGTACAATCCTCAGTTCCAGCGGTTAGGTAACAAGAAAGACCCTAATAGGTACACATGGATTTCCCTGGGAAGGGGAAGTAGACAAGTAAATCCTGGGTAAACTACAGGCAAGGGTATATGGTAACAGGGAAAGGATGGGTGATGAGAACGTGAGAGAAAGGGATGGTTGAGGGGGGAGAGGGTTGGAATGAGAGAGCAATGAAAGAGAGATCTTGATAGACAGAGCTACTATGGGGTAAGGGAGAAAGTTGGTGCTAGAGAAATTCCCAAGAATCCACAAAAATGACCTTAGCTAATACTTCCAGCTAATACCATTCAAGAGAATGCCCAAACTGGTCTTCCTCTCTAATCAGATTGGTGAATATGTCAACTATCATCATAGAGCCTTCATCCAGTAGGAACTAGACCCAGGCTTCTACAACCAAGCACCAAGCCAAGCTCCAGGAATCTAATCAAAGAGAAAAAGGAGGGAATATATGAACAAGGGAGGTCAAGATCATAATGGAGAAATCTAAAGAGACAGCAGAACCAAGCTTGTGGATACTCAAGAACTCTAGACTGACAGCTGTGGAACCTCCCTGGGACCAAACTAGGCTCTCCATTGTGGGAGACAGTGGTGAAACTTAGAGGGGCCCCTGGCAGTAGGAGGACCAGGATCAGTCCCTGGTGAGTGAGCTAGCTTCTTGGAGCCCATTCTCTATGGTGGGATGCCATGCTCAGCCTTAATGCAGAGGGGAGGGGCTTGGTCTTGCCCCAACTCAATATAGCAGACTCCGTTGACTCCCATTGGGAGCCCTTACCCATTGGGAGGAATGCTGGGGAGTGGTGAGGGGTGGAAGGAGGGGTGCAACAGAAAACTATGGTTGAATGTAAACTGAAATTTAAAAAATAAATTAAAAAAAATCACTTCTTTACTCTTAACTTCTTATCCACCATTGAAATTTGAAAATCTTAAATACATGCTTGTATTCTATTGACATTCACAGAGATGAGTTTAAATTCTCTGTTATCTTAGAAACTCAAATCCACTTTATTTCTTTCAGTTCTCTTTTAAAAGCCAATTGTT